GGATTTTTTTTTTTTTTTTTTTTGGCCTTTTGTTTAATTGTTAACAGGATGGTGGTGCCCTAAAGCTGGAACTCTTCTTAAAAATAAAGGGACTTTATTTCAATTGGGGTTATAAATCTTTTGATTCTTGCATAACTTTGCTTTTGGTCGGTTCATTGTTGTAGAATTATACAAATTTGTTTTACCTTTTTCATGTTAATGTTTGATTTCTTGGACCATATTTTATTTAATCAAAAAAAAAAAAAAAAAAAAAAAACAAACACATGTGTCTTGAGTTTTGGTACAAAATTGTAAAGAATATGTTGATGAAAGTATTTGAATTATGTTCTTTTATGCAACTTATTATGAGCTTAATACGAAGTTAGATATTTTAGGTTCCACTTGATCAGTATATACCACGTACAAAATAATAAAACAATACAATTTTTATAAAATAATAAAATAAAATAAAACAGTAAAATTTACAAATTCCTTCAAAAAAATTACAAATTGATTTTAAACTTAATAATCTAATCATTATAATCAAATGAACTTTCAATATTTTACCGTGCACTGTTATTATGATTTTGTCTTTGTAAAAAAGTTCACTTTAGAATTTGATCATAAGACACAACTTAATTTATGCAAAATATATGTAAAAAATAAACTTAAATTACAATAATAACTTCGTAATAATTTTTTCCATTTTAAGATGCAACATTATTTTATTTTATTTTTAAGAAAATGCACCATTACTTTTTAATCCCATCTTAAACAGGTTGATTAATTGATTGACGATGTAGGGCATATAGTAAATCATGCATGTGTTGCACTAGTACCCGTCACATACTAAACTTAAGTCAATTACTCATACTAAAGAAGTAAAGATAGTAAAGTACCTTTATTCGTTTATTAGGGTCAAAATGTGACATTATGACTTACAGGCTACAGCAAATGAGCAAATACTAGTAGTAAAGCAACTTTAATCTCATTTTTTGTTTTTTAAATAAACAATTTAACAATCCATTTATTAAGTACCAACGATAGTAATCTATCAAAGCCTTTTTGTCAGCTAAAGCAAAGGGAAAAGATAAAAATTAGCATATCATGCCTTCAGTTGACGACAATTAGCTAAAAGTTTAAATCTCATGATTTTTGAGTAAATTACAAAAATTGACTACGTTAATATAGGCCATAAAAGATGATTGCCGTTTAAAGTAGAGGCAAATTGAACAATGATAATTGTTTGCCTCCAAATTAATATGATTAGTCTATAAAAAGATTTAGATATGATTAATATGTGAGTTTCTATTGGAATACCGTTTGACATTAAACTAATTCTGTATTACATCCTCCATATTTTCATTTTTATGTTACTATTATATAAATCGTGTTGACTCTAGACTCTTTAATTATGCAATCGGTTGTTAAGGGTTTCTAGTAAAGAGGTCCATACAATATGATTACATGAAAGATGGGAAAAGAACTGGACCTAAAGTTTTTTTATCAAAAAACAAAAAAGTAAATGAGAAAAAAAAAATAGAAATACAAGAGAAAAAAAGAAAGTTTAAATGATCGAGTAATTGAAATCGAAATGGTATTTAGTGAAATTTCAAGATAAGTCAGTAGTTTATATATATTCCTTTACACATAAGTTGTGAAAGGGCTTTTGTTTGGTTTTTACTGGTGGAAAGCTCCAACCTTTGTTTCTTTATAAATTTTTTGCTTTTATTTGTCTTTTTATGTTTATAAAAATGTGTTTTTTTTTTTTTTTTTTTTTTTTTGCCTTTTGAGACTTTTTTTGCCAATTGATGGTAGCGTCTTAGCTTACACCCTCATACCATAGTAAAACAATGCAAGGATGAAGAACGCAAGACAACACAAGGCCAAGTCAAGCTAAGACTTCTAGCTTAAGATAGACATGATACCAAATGGTGAGCCAAGACATTAATGAGATGATTTTGAGGACCAAGTATGCCTTCCAGGGCCCTTTGTGAACCCAGAGAATCGCCTTGATGCACAATTTTGCTAGGTCTAAAAAATTATCAAGAAGCCAGATTTGAAGGCTATAATGCATGAAATTAAACCAATTTTGGAGGTTTTAGGATTGAAATCGAAAATTTTCAGAATACAGGAACTGCATCCTGGGATCATATAATTTTTTTGGAATCATATATAGGCTCTAGTTGGTCATATAAAGGCTCCTGACGACTTTGAGTTAATGAAGGGAGGCCTATGTAGTAGGCTAGGTAAACGGCTAAATTTATTGTTTTAAGCAAATTGAACAGTTCTAATTAACTACCTTAATAGCCTCCCAAAGTGACATAGGATGCATAGGAAATTAGGAAGCACCTTGATCACCTTCCTTTCAGGATCTAATGAATTGTTGTGAGCTTCGTTTCATTTTTGAAAAATTATGCGAGTACACAAAAGTTATCAATTTCTTGAATACAAGCAGATGGATCAGATAATAACATTCTCGTGACTTCAAAACACTTCAAATCCGTTCAAACCATAACTAGGCCTTAACCTAAGAATCCAACTCATTGCAGCCCAACAAACAACCTAATGTGCATTTCTCAAAATTCCAGCGATTCAACTCGAAGAAACACCAACTCATAAACCCTGCTAAAACCTCCAATTTCTCTCTTTCCAATTTTCTCAACCATGAACAGAGCTCAATTAATCCGTTTATCTGCTAGACTCGCCAACTCGCTTTCCTCAACTCGGCAACCAGGACTTCACTCGCTCAGGTTGAATCAGGTGACTCACTTTTCTCACCTCACTCAATCCCCTACTTTCTCTAGAAATCCACATTTTAGCTATGTTTCCCCCAATTCCCATCAAAGTCTATACTTTTCTACAACACCAGATTCTTTGATTAAGCTAATTTTGTCCAAAGATTGGTCAGAAGAATTTGAGGTTGAATTGGGAAAGTTAAACCCTAGAGTGAACCATGAATCTGTAGTTTATGTTTTGAAGAAATTGAATAAAAACCCTAAAAAATCTTTAGATTTTTACAAATGGGTGCGTGATAAAAAAGGGTTTGAGCCTCGTTATGTTCCTTGTACTATATTGCTCAAGACTTTGGCTAGTAGAGAGTTTTTGAAGGATTTCTGGGATGTTGCCAAGGAAATGAAGGAAAAGGGGTTTTGTATTGATAAACATATTTATGGTGCTATTAATGGGGCTTTAGAACGACAAAATTTGGTTAATGAGGCAGGAGTATGGACCAAGTTTTACGAAACGATGCACGAGGATAATGGTGAGAATGATGCTGTTAAGGGTGTTGTTGAGGTGGTGATGGGATCTGAGTGGAATGAGGGGGTGGAGAGTAAGTTAATGAAGCTTGGTTTTCCGTTAACGGAGAATGTTGTGTTTAGAGTGGTATGGAATTTGAGGGAAGAACCATTGATGGCTTTAAAGTTTTTTGAGTGGATTGCGAGTTGCAGGAAATTTGAGCATAATAGTGTAACATACAGCAGGATGGCCAGGGTTTTAGCTCTAGGTGGATTGATGGATGAGTTTTGGAACCTGGTGACGAAAATGAGAAGTGAGGGGTATGAGATAGATAATTATGTAAAGCTTGCAAGGTGTCTAGGTAAGGAAGATGCTGTTAAGCTGTTTGAGCTCATGATGGACGGTCCATACAAGCCAACAGAGACCGAGTGTAATTGGCTTTTGAAGATGCTTGCCCATGAACTTGATCCAGATATTGAATTGGTAAATAGGGTTGTTAACAAGTATGTGGGAGCTGGAAACACCCATACTAAAGCTTTATACGACGGTTTGCATAGATCTTTATGTAAAGCTGGGCAATTTGATGAAGCAAAGAAGGTCGTGGAAGACTTGAGGAATGCTGGTTACAAGCCTGACAATATTACTTATAGCCAAGAAGTGTTTGGCCTCTGTAGATTGAAAAGGTTTGAAGATGCTGTTAAGGTGCTAAACCAAATGGAAGCTGAGGGATGTGTTCCCGATATAAAGACTTGGACCATATTAATCCAAGGTTATTGTATAGCAGGTCAAATGGATGAGGCATTGTCATGCTTTGCACAGATGCCGGAAAGAAACCTTGATCCTGATGCTGATTTGTTGATGGTGTTGATAGAAGGATTCCTCTCTCAAGATAAGTTGCTTGGTGCTTATAAATTTCTTGTTGAGATGGTCAACAAAGCTTGTATAAAACCTTGGCAGGCTACATACAAACTGATGATTGAGAAGCTAGTACAAAATGGTAAACTTAACGAAGCATTCAACCTTCTTAGTATGATGAAGCAGCAAGAATATCCGCCTTATCCCGAACCATTTGCTGAGTATATCTCCAAATCTGGAACTGTGGAGGATGCTAACAAGCTCTTAGAAGCAGTGCCTATGAATGGTCTTCCATCCACTGAAGCTTACGTAAATGTCATTACTTCTTTCTTTAACAAAGGTAGACATTCTGAGGCCAAGGATCTGCTTTACGGTAGCCCTTCTCATGTTCGCAGACATAGGAAAATTAAAAAATTGTTTGGCTCCAAGCCTTCAATTAACTCTCCTAGTTAAGGCAGTTGGTATCAGAACAAAAACAACTGTTCTTTGTGTAGAATGTACGTCTTCAACCACTAGTTATAAATGAGCCTTCTTGGAAGTCTAGTTGGCTGGGTTTGGAGAGAGATATATTTCCCTTCAGCATTATGCTGTATACTGTCAAGCTGGAAATTGATGGTTTGATATATAACTCTGGAATTCAATAAAATGCTCCAGGATTCGCGTGGCCTAGACTGGTTGCCTTTTAATGTCATTTTGGATGTCCTGTTGTCCTTTTAAATTGTTTGTTGTGGAAGAACATTTCCTTCTCCCGTTATAGGTTTATAGCAGGAAGACTTGTCAATGAATGTTTACATGTTTGTACTGAAGAATTTAACAGATGATGAGTTTTTGTGCGCATGAGCGATTTTTTATGTATGAAAATACAAGTTAACTTCATAAAAGTTATAGGAGTACTCCGTATTAAGTACGAGTACTGATTAATAGTCATGTTAGATTTCTAGTATGCTACTCTGTGCATTATAATCATTCCACTTGAGGTTCCCTCGTTTCATACTATTCTGTGCATTATAAACATTCCACTTGAGGTTCCTTTGTTTCATACTTTCATATAATCAAAGTATTTGATACAACCTGTCAAAAAAAGAAAAAAAAAAAAAAGGTATTTGATACAAACTTTTCTTATTCCATATAATCTGCCACTATCAAGTTTCAAAAAATACTTGTCATTGAAGGATCCCAGCCGCAGTACCAGTTTTGGATAAAAACACAATACTCAATTTGTATACATAATGTCATAAACCCTACATTAATGGGAACAGGATTAGTAACTTTCTCAAGGGCTTCATTCATGAGCAATAAAAAGTTTTGGAGAATTAAAATTGCTGATGTGGGCTCCTTTCATTCGATTTCAATGTCTTTTACATCACCAAATTTCATAGCAGTGCCACATTTGTTTATGTTGAAATTCAACCGAAGTTTGGCTCACTTGGTAAGAGTTTTACTTTGGATCTTAGAGGTCTTGGATTCTAATTTTACCAATCGAGTGTTTGGGATTAAGGATCTCCTTGACTCCTGACCTCTCCTTCCTACTTCCAAGTACTAAGCCCACAAATACTTGACTGAAAAAACTGTAAGGGTTGGGTTAAAGCATAGTCAAGATCATTCTCCATTAAAAATAAATAGAAGTAAATAAAGTCAACCAAATTAATTCAAGTTATCAACAGAGGATCATGTGCACCAAACTTCCTTAACTCCTAATTTACATATGCATGATCCAATTCTGTACAATTCTATCTGACCACTTCCTCACATTTTCAGAGAATAAGGTGAGAAACTACAATGAATGTGATAATACAATAATAAGACCCCTACACCTCCAATCCCTCCCTTTTTTTTCACCTTGGTACAACATAAGACTCTGATACAATTAATAGTTTAATACTTCAAAATTCAGTCTGGTCTCTCAGAACGCTCTCTTTTGGCTGTATCAATCATTGTGCACAAAAACTTAATAGGATCACAGTTGAATGTATGGGCCATAGCAGCATGCGTCAAAAATGGAAGCTTTCGTAACGATCTTCCACTCAATCCCTTTACATCAAGATAAGTTATAACTTTAGAAGAAAGTATATCAAATCAAACCATGAAACCATATAAAACATAGATAATATACATAACAGGACATGTGTAGTGTGTACTTACATCACATGCTTCTGCAACTTCAAGCAATTGCCTAGACAATGTCAATGAAGCCCCAGCCTCTTGCATTTCACTTGACAGCAACTTTTCCTTGAGACTAGGAAAAGTCAGCATATCGAGGGGTTTATCCTACATTTCCATAATAAACAGAACATAAAAGTAAGATATAACTAGTTCATATAGCATGGAGGATGGAATGCAATGGGAACAAGGATGAAAGTAGAAGACAGATCAAAGACCTGAAAATTCTTTAGTATTCCACTTCTTAGAAGCTCTTGAACGCAGGATCTTAGTATTTCATAACGTGCTTGCAGGGTTGGAGGACCCACATAGGCTTTGATATCTGCCCTGTCAACAAAAGCAATATCTGCAAAGCCAGAAAGCAAATACACGGAACTATATGTTCAAAAAACTTGAATGAGGGTAAAGAGAGCACAAATTACACACAGTACACCTAGTAGTCTAGTACACAATCAAACAGATAAGTATGGTGAGCCTTGGACCAAGAAAGAAAAAGTAAAAAGATTCAGCTCCAACAGCTTCTGAAATACATAGATTGTGTGCAATTCCCTTGGAAATGAGACTGTCGACTGCAGTTAATGGCTCAAATGGTAAAAATGTCATAAATTGAGGTCCAGATAACAAGTTCAACTATATATATGATGTTTCTTGCGTGAAGTTCTTTGGAAATGTGTCTCCTCTCAAGTACATACATTTCTTTGTTGAATTTCATTCCAACTTATTACCGCCTATAGAGGATGTAATAAGTGGTAACGAAAATCACTGTAGAAAACCACATTCTTGAGAGTTGATGTACCTTAGATGGAATGTATATGAGACATTCCATAGATAATTACAAACTATATATTAAAATACGTCACTTTATGACTTGAAAGTGATACTGTTTTTGAACTTGGCAGTGATCTTTTCTTATATGCTAATGCATTGAAGCACTTTTCAACCGTTTCATGGTTTCTTCTCAGGCCTGTAAAAGTACAAAGGCATAGCATAAGATATCCAAAGAGATTGTTTCTTCCTACATGCATGGGCCAAACTGGTATGCTCAGTTGTTCGTTAGGAAGCTTGATCAGAATACTTGTCCAAACATCATAACAGGCAGCCAGATAATGCTAGTATCTGCTTTTAAGATACTGGAATATGAAATATCTGGATTCTAGAAGCCATCCCCAAAAAGAAATACAAGACACAGACTCTGAACTACAGTATATGCATACCTATAGCTGCTGTAATATTGGATGTTGTCATAATTATAACATTTGGCGAGCTTTTCAATTTGTCCAACTGAGTAAGTAGAGCATTCACAACCTGAGACGCCATTTATGAATTAATAGTTTTCCAGGGCAGTCAATTAGACAATTTAAATCATTCCAAAATGAAGTTTCAAAAAGAAATAAATAAAAAAAGAAAAACAATTGAGCAGCAAATGCAAGATACCCTAATAGAATCAGAGGGCTCAGAACCAGACAGGGCAGCATTTCTAGCAGCCGCAAGACTTTCAACTTCATCTGCAGATCATGAAAACAAATCAATATAAACTGATTTGAGATCAAAGAGAAAGTTTATCTCCTTTTGCCTTCTTTATTTATTTCGTTAGTGGAAAACCAACACTCACCAATTAAAACAAACACTAGATTGTTTTCATCCTCAACCATTTCTTGAATACTTTGGAACAGCTTAGCAACCTTTCATAAGTAGACATCTCAGTCAGTATTCTATGCCAAAAAATAAATCAGTCTATTAAAACAGCATACAAAATAAAAACCCAAGTAAAACTGTCGCAATAACTGAAGCTGAATTAGTACATGTCAATCAGATAAAATTGAAATAATTTGCATTTGTTGTAAAAATACATGAAGGCAATGAGGCAATCTTCTATCATCATAATAGAATTTTTTAAGAGCTGAAAGAAATGAGTAATTGGGATAAGATCACGCATGCTGAAAGCACATACCAATTTACCACTTTCTGAAAACCATTTGCTGAACAAAGAATGAGCATTAACTTCAATCAACTGGGACTGTGGATATCTGATTTTGTATGAAGAGAAATTATTAGGCAAAGAAACTAGGTGTTAAGTCTCAAAGTAATACAGTTAGCATAACACATCCAAACCTGGAGCTGAATCGTATTGATAGTTTCTGAGCCAATGCTTTACATAATGATGTTTTACCAGTACCTGGGGGTCCATGTAGAAGAATGATTCTGCATAGAAAACGATAGACTCAACAGAAGAAAAAAAAAGGGAAATCAACTAGAGCTGGTTCACCTAGCTATCTCAGATATCTCTTACAGTGTGTTAGGATAGAATAATATGGGGAAAAAAAGGTTGGAAGTGAAATTGAGGCAATCATCTTCCTTAATTTGAATGAATTAGGGGATGAAGGAAGGGAAGGGAAGGGAATTGGAGGGATCCATTTTCCTTCCACTTTATGAAACAAACTCTTTGAATGTTGGAAAGAATGGGAAGGAATATGAAAGATCACTTATTCCCCCTTCTCATCTTCCTTCCTTTTTCTTCCCCAATTCCTATCCAAATAAAGTGTAAGCTGCAAAAATTAAAATTTGGCCTCTAACCACAATGGAGCTTTAAACTTTAAATCATGGTCAAGGTATTGTGCTAGTAATGATATATGACATCCATGATGCCATTATCAAAGTATTATACAGAAATGTAATTCCAGCTCAAGAAAAGATGAGGTGAATGTAGTTTAAAAGTATTGTTTCAGGACAATTGACATCAATACAAGCAGAAGTTGGCATTATAGGTTTAAACAGAATGAGCGGCTTCTGAAGCATAAGTGCATTTTCTCTAGACCATGCCTTATTTTCAAAGCTGATGATAAACCGATAAAAATAAAGTAAAGGTAATACAAGTTCAAGCATAATGGGCCTACTTTCTATAACATACAGAGAACTTTCTCTTGTAGATTGTCTAAGAATAAGTAGTACTTTGTAAGTGTTGTATCACCAATCTTAAATATGCAGTTTTCAATAATTGACGCACATTTAGTTCATTGTACTTTGCAAGCCTGTATAGTTGCCAAATTAGCTCTGTGATCAACATCTACCAGCTTAAGTATCGAGTCATGAACACAGAACTCCATAACTCCAGCGTTAGCAAATGAGCTCACTTATCGGCAGTTATTTCATGCTTATAACTTAAGCAAATTAGCAGTAAGATGGCAGAGTATCATTTAACTATGGTGCCTCCCGGCTGGTGAAATGACTGAACATTGATGGAAGCTTAAGCAAGTTGCTGTTGTCAGTTCTGGGAACAACTGATTCAGGAGAGTAACTACAACTAGAGAACCTATCATCTTCTCTTTTAGAAAGAGAGACATTTAAACTGTTTCTGATGATAATTTATTAACTTATATCAGGGACTATACATCACTGCTTTCAAGAGGAAACCACTTAACATCCAAAAGGGGAAAATTAAAATTTAACAAAAGAAATTCAGGAGGAACAAAGCGTAGAATTCTTCCATAAAAAGGTTAAACAGCTCTCAAAAATCCAATATAATGATTGGGAAAACAAAAACAAAAAAACCTGGTAAAAAGAGTTTTTTTTTTTTGGGTGAACTGATAAAGAGAGTATCTGGAAGTAGTGTGAAACAGAGAACAAAAGCCAATCAACGCATTCAGCAGGGATAGTAGATTGCAGACCATGTATGAAAATGAATATATATATGGAATAACATGATGGGATATATGCTACATTACCGGTTCCAAGACACAAGAAATGGATTTACACCCTTTTCACTAAAAAGCAATGCACTCGCTGCATACCGCAACAATCTTTCCTTTAGTCCAGATTCGAAGATCAAGCTGCAGATGCAACAGTCTTATTGATATAATTCATTCAAAGAAAAAAAAACACAAGGGGGAAAAGACATACACACCTTTCCCACATTCCATCAAACTCCTTAGCAGGAAGAGCCCATTCATTAAAACTGGAATGTTGACCATCTCCTCCTAATTCTTCACAAGGCCCTTCCTCACTAAGCTAGTAAAAAACAAGGTCACATATCAAAACAGAATCATCAATGTACTAGAATCAGTTAGAATAGAAGCATATAAACATGTAACACTAGGTCATCCAAGTATGACTATAAAGCAAGTACCTGATACACATGCACAAGTGGCTTGACCTGCCAAAATAAAAGAACTTCACCATTCTTCACCCATTCATCTACAAGACAAGGAAAAACATCAAATTTATCAGAATTATCCACTACGTTGAGGCAACACCTGATACATTTTTAAAAAAGCTTACCTGTATCGCATACACATATACTCTGCACATTTTCTAATAAATATTGGTCATTGTCAGGTAAAGGAACAGGACCATTGCTATAACTCAAACTTCTTGTCTCTAGCATTCTGAAAATAAACAGAACTAAAATATCAAGAACAAGCTTAGGAAACCCCCTCCCAAGAATTTGGAAGTTTTAAAATATGAACAGGTCAGCTATTCAACATAGTGTTTTCTATGATGTTTTCCCAAATTTAGAAACAAAAATGTCTAATACTATTAGATGAAAACTGCTCCATACATCTAAAAATAATAGCAACATCACATACTATTTCAGCATGTTTGAAAAAAGTTTTCACATTTTCAAACTAGTCATGGTTTGTAATTGATTTACAATTAAACCCTAAATAACAACAAGCATTTTGGGAAATATGGTCCAACTATTTATTTCAGGTCTTTTAGTAATATTTATACATGTGTGATGTGTCTGATGATGAGATGTTGGCATGTTGGGATAATATGACTCTGAATCCTAGATAAAGGGAGAAAGTCTATTTTGTCTTGTACCAGTGTATTGTCTACTACAATAATCAAATAACTAAATATCCTTGGGGTTTTTTTCTAGTAAAAGAATTCCATTATGGGATACCAAACCAGAAGTTGGAAAATGTTTACTAAGTATAGCTGTTTCCTTTCATAGCCTCCCTCCCTCTCACTCAATCATTTGTGACAAAAAGAAACTAGATACATATTCACATCCATCCATACATGCATAAATGAAAAGCCAGAGCAACATATTGTATTTTCAAGTTATTGTCGAATATGTAGACGACAGCACATATAATCCTGGAAGGTGGTGTGTCTTGAACCTGCTACTCAACCACAGACACAAGTCTGGCCCATGGAAACACATTATGCGCCTACAAATTTCAGAATAGAAGTTCTTTGTGTTGGTATCGTATTCATACTTGTACCATTGTCTATCTCAAGGTAACAAAGGCAATCAGCTGTAGGCAAAACCAATTCCCTTTTAAGCACATACAGTATAATAGCATAATGCACCTAAAACAACGGAATCGCTCGATACACAAGACTGGCAGAAGCTAAGAACAACTAAATGATCAGCTAGAAACAAATATTCAATCAATCAGCAAAAAATGCTACTTCTGACAAGTACAATCATTTATACAAACATACGAGTATGACCACTAAAAAACTGATTGAACTACTAAACACATCAAAAATTACCTTTCAACGCAAGTGCGGACATCATCCAATCGAGCTGTACTGGAGGGTTTCAAACATACTTCAACTGAAATTAGGGCAAAAATTGGGGCAAATTCCAAACTTTTAGAAATCAAAATTGGAGCTTAGAAAAACATAAAATTAGCAGAAATTAACATATGAGAGAGTAAGAGGGGACCTGAAACGAGGAATTTGTCATCGGCGATTGCAGGAGAAGCAGCTGATTCGGAAGCAATGGGAGGAGTTGGAGTAGATTGTTCTGGAATCATCGGAGAAGCAACATTTGGCTCCAAAACGACGCCATTTTCGATTTTGATGGTTTCTGCTTCGGGTTCAGTGGATTCAGGTTTTGGAATTGAAATCTCCATTGGAGAGCTCATTTTCTTGAAATTAGGGTTTCTGCAACGAGTTGATTTTGATTGATGAACACGACGAAATTGAATTCTACGTGATGATGCAGAGTGTAGAAGAGAGAGAAATGAGAGAAATCGAATGAAAAGGGATGAACAATTGATTGGAAATTGATGATTTTTGGAAGAAGCCCTAGAACGACATTTTAGGGAATTCTTTGCTTTTGAATTTGAGCGGGAATTCATTAGGGTGGGTTAATTGAGTTTATCCATCAGATTCAACTTCACACTTTATCATACAGTACTTTTTGTTCGTTTAGTTTTTGTAACGTTGAGGGAAAGTGTGATACTAAAGCCCGTTCACTCTATCTTATTTTCGGTGAATTGAAATTAATTTTACTGAATTAAAATTATTTTTACTGAAATGAAATTATTTTTGGTGAAATGAAATTATTTTTGGTGAACTAACTTACTTTTATAGATCTTTTGTTATTTTTCTTCTTTACAGTTACTGATTTTTACTGAAATGAAATTATTTTTATTGAACTAAACTTATTTTTGGTGAACTGAACTTATTTTTATTGAGCTGAAATTATTTTTACTGAATATTATTTTTTTAAGGTGAAGTGAACAGGGTCTTAACTGGAGTAATTGGTTCTGTTTGAGAATTAGCTAATGGTTATACAGAGAATTGATTTTACTATCTACCTGGTTGTATTAGCTGATTTGATTAATTGGTTATAAATAACTGATCGTGTAAAACTGTTTATTAATTTACTCGTAGCTTATTGTAGTGATCAAATCAACAAATTTGATTAACTAGTTGTAAATAACCGACTGTGTAAAAGTGTTTAGCTTATTGTAGTGGTCAAATCAGCTAATTTTGCCCTCATAACCTCTCCGCCAAACACCTTAACCAAGTGGCTAACACATTATAAGCTAATACGAGCTCTTTTTTTTTTTTTGCAAGAAATATGAGTTTTAAAACTTTTAATAAACTATTTACTAAACACGCAAATTAACTTTTGAAAATTGTCAAAGCTTTAATAGGCTTCAATAAGCTAAGTGTTCTCCAAAATGCTCTTAGCCCATATGATAGTGAGAAAGATAGAGAGCATCATTGGCCAAATAAAGTAATGTTGCGATTAATTTGCAACTTTTCAAAAAGAATACGTTGCCATAAAAATAAAAAAATAAAAAAAAAAAAGTTTTAAACCACTAAGTCGCCTCTCCTTGCATAAGCTACGAGAAGAAATTGAAGGTGGTCCATCCTCAATGACATTCACTCTTTTTTATACGAAGTGCTAGTTAGTACACCTAACTTATCTTGAAGCACCGGCATCTCACATTTCTCATCCACCTTAAACCGCTCAAACCTTACATCTAGTTGCCAAATTAAACAAAACCACCACCATTAGTTAATGTCCCCAATTCATTCAATGGTTCCAACTTCCAAGCTTCAAATAGAATAAATGAGAATAAATCATTAAATTTCTCCATCAAATACCCATGTCAAATGTCATACACTCGTTCCTTTTTTAGATAACTAAAATAAAATGAGAGGCTATTATTGGCCCAAAGATTATATCATGGTCCCCTTACACTACCCTTTCCTAGTGAAACAACAAGGCCCAAAAACCAAACATCATGAAACAAAATATTAAACGAGATGATAAAAATAAGACTGAACAAATGGAACTTGAAATCATCAAAGCTGTAGCTCAAGCTTGGCATAGTCACTCCAACAATGCTAGGGAAGCAACATGCGAGTTCGATGCTCGAAGGCATAACTTTCGTGACACGCCTTCGAGGTTTAAACTCGAGGTCGAAGCTATGAATAAGTTGAAGGTGGATGAAGAGGCTAATAAGGGGATATGGAATTTTAATCAATCTCTTTGGGATCCCTTTGAAATTGTGGCTGTATCGAAAAAGTTGGAAACCGGGTTAGTTTTGAATTATGATTTTGATGATTTGCAAAAATTAAATGAGCAATTAAGGGTGTTTAAGAAAAGAAAAGAGAGTAAGAATAGCCTTAGGAATTTGTTCAATGTAATGTCTTCTAGGAGATTTAGTGATAAAGCTCAATTTTCAGATTAATCAAAAACTTTCAAGTAGTTAATTTCCGAGTTTCTTAATATGTACTCCAAATTAATACTTTTATGATACTCCGTAATTATAATTAAAGTTATTGATGATCAAAATCTCTGGTATTTTTGGTTCTCGGCTTCTTGTGATGTTATGGTATGAATCATATGATCAAAGAAACTCCAAACTAAATTTGCTTCTTCTTTGTACCTTTGCCACCAAATTTGTAACACAACAATTCAAATATGGCCCATTCATAAACTATAGTGTATAATTTGATCCTCTAAAAGATTTGTAATACTACTTCCGCTAAAAATTAGTTGTAACTTTGAAATATTATTTGTGAGATATAAAATATTCCAAAGTTGCTACTAATATTTAACGGAGGTAGTATGATAAATTGATAATAAGTGTGAATTGTATGAGCAGATCGCTAATATCATTGCGCTTATTGAGGTAAATTTTTTCTATATTTTATTGGACAGGTGACAATGATTTTATATATGCGTGCACACCTAATATTTAATAATTGATATGAGGTAGTCGACATCTACCATTTTACACTAAAATTTGAGCTTACCAATATCAATGACAACATTGAATTGTACAAGTTTCTTATGATTAAAAAAATTCCATGAAATTTTTAAATGTTGTTATAAGAGATATGGATTGCATAACTTACAGTATGATTTTAAGAGAGCACTAAGTAAGAGTTAGAAAGAGGCCTACATATATGATTCTTGAAGATAAGTTGAGAGAAATCTTTCATCTTTTGATTTGGCTTTTTATATCAACTTGAGTGTTGGACCATAGCATATCATATATGCAAGTTACATCATCTTATTAGCTAAGAAAAGAATTTTAAATAACAGTAAGACTTCATCCTAAAACATTTGATAATAAGGCTTCTCCCATGTATTAAGCTATGTTAACTAGCTCATATGTGAGTTCATGCACTTCTTAGCACACGTTCGCAAAGGTACATAATTAGGCGTAAATAAGGAAACTTATAAAAGTGAAATTATGCACTTCATCAGTTACAGGGCAAATGTCGTCAATTGATGCTTTTTACTACACCATATTACCATCATATTGTTACTAGTGTTTTTCTTTTATGCCAATGTCAGAAAGGTATGTATAACTAATAACATCTGTATGTAAAGCCAATATTCTTGCATAGAACAAATTCTTCTAAAAGCACATAAAAAATGCTTTGAATTACTTTTTCTCCTTCACGCATCACGTCTTGTTGGAAACCTACAAAGAGATACTCCGTATACGTAGTTAATTATTTAATTAGACAACCACACAGTACACAACCACATCTTTGATGAGGGTCTTATGTGATAACCAGGTGCGTGCCAACTCCCATATGTGTGTTGATCAATCGTCTTAACAACAATATTGCTACGGCCTACGTACGGACATACACGCATATGCTTTTATTCATATAAAAAATATATATATATATATATGAAAAATAGCAACACGAACTAATATATTTACTACTTCTTCAGTCCATAAGAAGCAAAAGATAGACATCAAATTATTTATTTGGACTGCTAGCTACAAGTACACACACAATTCACCTATATTGTCACATCCCACACGCATTATGCAATATGCATATATTGTACTAAGCCATGCATTTAGACAACAATACTACAATAGTATAGTAGACTTAGTAGTATATATAAATTAAAATATAATGCAATTAGTTATGGGTACAACCTTAATTGTAGATGATGCAGTAATAATACGTAATAGCATAGAGAGTAGTATCTTGGTCACATAGTAAAAGTGTTCCACCAGCGAACCTCAAAGCCCCTATGATTGGCCTTGATGAAGTTATCAGCTTCATCATCAACACTCATTATAGCACCCCCTTCTCCTTGGGTAGCTTGATCCCCCTTCTCTCACCATCCACCACCGGCGGCTCAACAGAATCCATAAAACGAACCCTTTGAGGACGAGCATGACTCTCTGGCATGTGGTTGTGGTGGTAGTGCTCGATATGAATTGTTCCATCCGTGTCCTCATAGTCCGATCCAATGTCATTCCTATCGGCCTCATCATTGACACTAGGATAACGAGGGACGTTCTCGAGATTGGAAATATAGTCAAGGTAGTCACCACTACTATTATAGGTGGTGTCCTTGCGATAGGAGGGTTGTATGTAATGTTGTTTTTGTGTATATCGGAAGGCCATTTTTGCTTAGAACACTCTCCCTTAGAGCGTATTATCTATTATTTATTGTAACAAGTATTTTTTTTTTTTTTTTTTTTTATGAAAGGAAAGCAAGGTTTTTGTAAGCAATTGGAAAGAATAATCACTTCAATTTAATATTCTTTGTGATAAGGTGAAAAAAGTTTTGCACCCTATGCCATTTTTTTTAATACTCTAATAACCCAATAACTAGGCATCAACGATCAATCAATCAAGAATATCACACAGAAGAGCAAGCGTTGTTGTTACACCAAGTGACCCTTCGTCTCTCCAAAACAAAATATCTCACACTTGATATTTATGGTCAAAGTGTCAAACTACATCAAGTTTTTGACCATTAATTTTGATCAATTCAATATGCCAAAATAAGGATAAAAACTTACACTATCATGAAAATGAAAAACATATTATATAAAGGAAAATGATAAGTTTAGCTCTAAGGGATCATTTGGTTGGAGGTATTCAACAAAGGGAATGGGAATCGACGGGAATCATTCCCTTTGTTGTTGTTCGTTAGGCCACTTTTTCAATCCCCTTTACCCTCTACATTCCCCCAAATCCCTCCAAGTTGATTTCCCACCCCCTTAGGTATTTCCATTCCCATTCCTGAGCCACCACCTCACCACCATAGCACCTCCCTCTCACCTATCCTCACCACCGGAAAATCAGCCACCGCACCACCGCCGCTCCTCCCCTGACCATTCGCCGCACCTCCCTCGCCCCTCGCCGCCCTTCCCTCGCCCCACAAATATGTCCCCTCCCCGTAAAACTTCCTCCAACCCTCGCAAAACCCTTAAAGCTCTCCTCCCTCCCTGTAAAACCGTCAGTCGCCTCTCCCACCACCCTCGGAACCCTAGCGCCTAAGGTTTCGAGGGTGGTGGGAGAGGCGGCTGACGATTTTACGGGTAGAGAAAGGAGTTTTAAGGTTTACGAGGCTGGGGAAGTTATACGGGGGAGGGGAGGGGTAGCGAAGGTCGAGGGTGGTGCTGCGAACGGCGGCGAGTGGTGGGGGATGTGCGACGAGGGTGGTGCTGCGAACGACGGCTGGGTGGTGGCTGAAAAAGGTGGGTTTTGAAAGAAATGGGTGGTTGTGTGGTGGTGATGTGGTGGTGGGACTGGTGGTTTTATTTCTCATTGTTTTTCAAAACAAACAACATATCAAATTTAAGGGTTTTTCAATTTCCATTCCATTCTCTATCTTTTCCTTTGTTCATTCCATTCCGATTACCCCGTGCAAACCAAACGACCCCTAAGAACTATGGAGTACATATTAAAAATGAATAAATACAATATTAAATTATCAATTGTATACACCGAGTCGTTTTGTTATAATTCTCAAATTTATATTTCATATTGTTAGATCTTCCTACTTTATTTGGCCAATTTTATCCCATAAAAAGATTTAAAGTAGGAAACAATTTTTTTTTAATTTTTTTTATAATATTTTTTTTACCAAAGGAAAAATATTTTAAGAGATGCATATTATGCTTATATATAAGCCTATAATAGATAATAAGTTTCATTTTCACATCATAGCTTGACATTTTAACCCGAATTTACCGTCATAGTAATTATTTAGTATTACCATCAAAGTCATATGTAATCAATTATCTAGATAGAGAAGAATATAGTAGAGGTGATCATTAAGCGGGTCGGGCCGAGGCCACAAGAATTAGCGCGCTTCTCAGGCTAGGCTGGGTCAAGCTTCGGGCCGAAATTTTTGTTTCCAAACCCACCCAAAATGGCCGGACCATGCGGGCTTTTCGCTCCGGGTAAAAAAAATCAACTAAAAATGCATAAAACCACATTTCCAAACCCGCCCAAAAATCAGACCAGACCGAAAATCTGCCCAAAACCCGTTCAAAATTGGGCCAAGCTAACTTTGATCAAGTCTAGAACATAGTACATACTGTTATACCATTTGAAAGATTCCCAAGTTTTTTTTTTTCTTTATTTCTTTTTTTCTTCTCTTGGAGGATAAGTATTCTCCAAGACAAGCTAAGAGACCCAATCTTTTCTTTTGGCAATGCCCATAAAATATATATTCTCAAATGGCCAAATCATACAAGTTGAAAATTTCTGATTCTTATGTAAGAAATACGATTGCAACGATGTAGACAGTGGCGGAGCTAGAATTTTTTTGTGTGGGGGGCCAAATCTTATATATGTACTCATATCTCATTCATACACAAAAACAATTCAATATATACTTTGTTATAATATAAATTTTAAGTATATAAAATACAATGATTTCCAATTCTAAAACAGTATAAATTAAATGAGTGAACCCGCATATTTTTGTTAAAAGTAAAATTGTAAGGCACAGAATTCGAACCCAAGATGAGGAAGACAAAATGAATCTTGTAATCTTACAACTTAACTAAACCATCTCTATTACAACTTAGCATGTGTATCTTATTGCTACCTCTAATTAATATTTAATGCCAAGGGGGAGGTCATGGCCCATGTCAGCCCCCCCTTGGCTATGCCACTGGATGTAGACACTTATAAATAACATGCTCCACGTAGGCGCACTTTGAGCGACTTCTAGCTACAAATGACAAGTTAATGTTGTCATTCAATTGAATTCAAAACAACACAATTCGATTTGACTATACGTGACTAATTAAAAGACATCTCAAGTAAAGTAAATTATTTGGAATAATATTTTATAACTTTTCCAAAAAAAAATTGAATATTTAAATCTTTTATAACTTTATTTAAGTACTAAGCATCAAATTCATCTATACAGCCCAGAGAACATATTCGACCAATATAGGCTACATAGACTACATAAATATTGTTAGAAACTTTTATAAAATGATTGAATAGAAAGGGCAATTTTCACTAAACACTCACATATGAGTACCAAAAGTTGTTATTTTTATC